GAGGTCAGCTCTTGGATTTTCACTTGTTGCTCCATAAAATTCTGTCGTTTGAATGGCTATAAATCACACTTTAAGGTAACTTGCCATATTTATGTGCTGAAGTGAGCTAACATTAACGAACAGTTGTGAAATATGAAAAAGAAAGCATGGTCTCGCGAGTAGTAAGGTTAATTATCATTGTTTGAGACAATCATCTTCCACTTAGGTTTTGTGTAAAGTTACTTCTTTTTAAATTTGTAGTGCTCGTTGATTTCCATGAACTGCTGAAACCACCAGAAGCTGAAAAACTGTCTATAAATTACGATCATTAAAGTCCAAGCACAAAGCACCAATGTGAAGCCTTATGAAACAGTACAGGCCTTTGAGCAAATAGAACACAAATGATGGCGAGTTATGGCATTTCTGAATGGCCTCTGTTTATAATCATTGTTAATGAGGGTTTCAAAAGATTTCTACCACATTAATCAAATAAGGCAAACAGGGAAGAGTCCCAGGAGAGCAGAATAGTGTTTCACTATGCTGCATTTGATTCAGTGTAGCAGATCATTCCACAACGATTACTTGTTTCCCTGTGTTTAGTCTCAGAGCTTTTAGTCGCAGTGTACCGAATTGTATTAGTTTTGTTTGCCTATTTCCTGGAGAGCTTAAACAAATTACACTGGACAAATTTGTCATCTTTATGTTGGAAATATTTCCATACAATGCTCCACTTAGATTTGGCTATTTCGCTTAATGTGAGATCAGTGATCGTTTGAAAGGTTTGAAAGTCAAGTGATTTGTAATATATAATTCTGTTTCATAAACCTGTGCAGTTTTCGTATTTGCTTTGTTTAATGTTACACGTTTGTTGATAAAGTCTTGTTGAAATTTGTTTCTTGTCTTTATTTAATTATATAAGTTTAAAAAGACTAGAAAACCAAAAGAAACGGAAAGTAATCAGATTACTTTACTTTAATATAGTAATCCTTTGAATTAGGTTGCAATTACATTTTTTACAGGTAAACAGTAATCTGAAACAGAATGCATTTTTAAAAGAACGCTTCCAATCCTGGCAGCAGCCATAAAGCCTACATTTTGCCTGTCCTTTTGGCCATTTTTATACATAACAGTGTATCAGTTTGAAAACCTTAAGACGCACGTCTTTCCCGTTAACAAACAAGTGATGGCCCATTTTGCTTCTTTCATCTGGCCAACATACTCCTCCGGAATTATGGCGATGACTTCGCCCGAATCCAGGTGTCGGAACGTTAACTTGCTGTTCAGTGTTCAATGAACACAAAATGTTAAGTCAGCCACAAATAATTTTAAACCAAATTTGAATTAAATTGCAAATTAGGATATTTAGTAGTGTTTCTAGTATTGAGGCAGGTTGTGTTGAACTAACTATTTTTTTTTCAGTTAACAAAAAAATGTCACATAGTTACATGAACCAGAAGTGGCACAGATCTTTTTTAAGACATGTGGGACAAATAAGCAGGTTTTAATATTTAATGTTGGCTCACATACAGCTTGCCAGTGCTGACAGCAGTACCACATGTTTGCCAGAAGTGGCCCACATTGACATGTGTTGTTTGGATTGGCTGGTTGACTATATTTGGAGTAAAGGAAAAAATGTGTACATTTGGTTATGCGACTCTTGCTTTAAAGACAATGAGAATCAGAAATCACAGTGCACTTTCCTTCCATACCTTGAGGTATGTCTATGTGACAATGTCAAGCTTGTAAAAATTGAATAACCCTTTGGGTTGCTATATAGAACCCATGTCAAAAAGGTTCTGTATAGAACCATATAAAATATGTCCCTCATCAATCTGAAGAACTCTTTCACAATGCAAAGAACCCTTTAATCATGCAAAGAGTTCTTTGAGTATTCATGGTCCTATACAGAACCATTTTCTTTACTAAAGAACCCTTGAAGACCATCTTTTTTAAGTGTGTAGAGTAGGATCAAAAGTACACTGTAAAAAATGGAACAGGGCAGAAATTAATTTGAAGTGTATTTGGGGTTTGAATTGATATCAACTGATCCACAGTTTAATTTTTCTTAGTTTTCTGCTGCATTATTTGTTTACTGTTGCTTAATGACAATTTAAAGTGGAGGTTTAATTAATTATTGATCCTCTTACCTGCAAAATAAGTCACTCTGCCGTCACCCCATAATTAGAAGTTGGTGAAGACTCTGTTCACTCTTATTAGATTCAGAATACACATTTGAATGTCAAAAAATCCATCATAGTAATTCTCTGTGAGATAGCTGGCGCACTATCAGAATTCAGAGCGTTTCTTGAGAGCTGTAGAGCTGCAAGTATTGGACTTGGATGTCTTCTTTGCATGTAAAAATCCATCTCAAATAGGGTGAAATTAATTGGAATATTTACGATCCCAAGTTTGCAGTTTTGGCTTTTCTGAAAGGAGGCTGCAGATGCACTTAAGGGCATGTGAGCAAGTTGAATTTGAACCTCCACTGGAATAAACTTCTTCCAATTCTCATTTGTCTTTGGATTTCATATAACATGGAGTGCGAGCACGTATTGCGACGCATCAAGGCACATGCACCTTCCTAATGTAATACCCTGAGAAATGAAATGTGTTAGTCCTTTGGTAAATATTCAGCAGGTGTTTGAAGCCTGTGCCTCTGTCTAGTGCTGTGTCTGCTGCCATTGTTAAACAAAGCCTCCTAACAAGGTTTTGAGACACTACTCCCTTCCACATTTCCCCCAAATGCATATGTATGAGAGAGATAAACATATTTTGCATTTTTCCATGTACAGTATATGGAACACAGTCGTTTAGGCTTGTACATCAGTCTTGTATGTAACATACTGACAGAATGCATCCTATCTGTGTCTGAAACTGGTGTAAAAGGCTTAGTACAGTTAGTAGTGGGTGGTACGGCACGGTATAATTAAAATTTCTGATGTTTTCAGTGTACCATCACTTTTAATAATAGCTATACATATTTAAAGCTGTAATGTTGCAAAATCACACAATTTTGCAATCGGCTGTGATGCCTTCAGATGAATCCAATAATGGCTAGCGTGTTGAAAGCAGCACATAGCAGCACATTATGGACACCATAATTTAGTATACCATACTTTTGTTCTCCTGACTCCAAATTTCTTGAGTCATTTGTCTCATATGTGCATCCAAGACATTTATGCTTACATTTATGAATGTCAGGCACTGCTGGAATTCAGTAAGTATTACAAGTTATTCATGCTATTAGTACAAAAGGATTGGCTTGTTGTGAAGTCCAGGCCTCAAGATTGCATTGTTGTCTGATGCAGCTGATTAAGTGAGACAGCACTGCAGGTAGTGTGGGAGGAAACAGAAGCACAGCAAGTGGTCTAGTGTCCATGCAAACCTAAAGGATGACCCTAAGAAACCAGTCAATCCTTTAACACTGTGGCATCCCGCTACTGGCCATGCTGGCGATAGGAGCACAGGAGGCGTGGCCACGCAAAGCGACATCACAAAGAGGCATTCGGGAAGTGCTGCTCTCGTAGTAGGAGAGACAGTTATTGTAGGTAAGTTGTTGTTGTTAGCTTAAGTTGTGCAGCAATGTTGGTCGTTCTATTCTGTGCTGGGTTGTGGGGTAGGTAAGTGGATTGAGTGTCTACCATGAAGGAAAGTTGTATGGTTAGAAGTGACCAGTCTGCTTCCCGGCTGTGTCAGCTTGTGCAGAGTGGCGGTTCTCCCTTGCTGCCTGTTCAGTGAAAGAGCATTTACCTTTAACGTTTCCTGTCTTCTTCCTCTTTGCTGGCACTACAATATAAAGTCTTACGCATGATTTCTCGGATTTGGACTACTTTAGACTACAACTGACTAAACAGTAGGAGATGATCGAGATACTGCTTCGTGGCTTTGCCTTAACAGGCTAATGTTAGCACGCTGTGCACTGTCTGTAAGTTGTGCTGTCTGTGCTTGCTTTTGGCATCCCAGTATAACAGTTATGACTGATACTTTATGAGGGATTTCAGTGAGTATACCAGATGAACTGATACCAGAATCACAGTTGGGAAACACTGAAATTGGTAGTGGTCGGTTTTCCGGATGAACCAGTATACCGCCCTAATCAGCTCCTTAACAAACCAACACTGAGCTGTAGTGGATGTGTTGAAGCAAGAAAATATTAAACTTTAGAAGTCAAAACACTTCTTAAACATTTTTTCAGCCCTTCCCCTCTTTACTCATGATGTGTTCTGATACTGTCTTCCCTGTGCATCCCATCTACTCTGAGAGCGTTCCTCATGTACTGTATTCCATGCATGTCTTTGCTATTCCATTGTGAATTCCTCCAGCGTGGTCATCATTGTCAGCTATGATAGATGGAACAGCATTTCATGTTCTGTCATTTCATTCCATTTTGCTGTCAATGGAGAAGAGAGAGAGCGAGAGACAGAGAGAAGATGAAAAAGAGCAAAAGTGCAATGCAACATAGTATTGACTTCCTCTTAAATGTCAGCACATTATTTTGTCTTGAGGGTTCCGGTTGGCTACTTCAGCTTAGCTGTGACCTCATTTACAGATACGCATGTAATGTAATGAAGCTGTGAAGGGCTCAGCATGCTGAAAATTGGTTAGGTGTCTATTTATTTGTGCATACCATGGGATTATATAGATGTTGGTTAATAAAGCCCATAGAACATCTTAAAGCAAATATCCAGTTTATTTTAGCCTCTCTCTTTTCCACATGGGTGACTGTCTCCCCCACAGCATATGCTCTTAACGGCCTCTAAGAATCACAACCAACGTTTGTCACTAAGACACTTCTGTCAGAATGATCAACAAGGCTCATCGTTTCATGACACACCGTTCAGTACATCACCCGTGAAGTGAGCAAACCACAGTATTTTGACATCATCCTGCAGAGCCTATTAGCTCTTTATGGCTACATACACTGAGACACGTACAATCCTCCAGACAGTCAACATAAATTCAAACATTTAAACGTTTGTTCCATGTAAAATGCGTGTTCATGATTGTTAATGCTTGTTTTAGAGTTTTTTTCTCCAGAGTGGACATTGATTCAGTTGGCTCCTCAGTTCTTCTACAGGGCATTCTAGAAGCCAGCTGCCAACTACGGAATGTTGAACATTGCTAACCATGGTTTGAGGCTTTCATTTGCTACTAACAGGCATCTGCACTAGGCAATCTTCCTCTTCATCAACTGACGTTTCACTGTTAGGCATTCTAACAATGTTAGATGGCAGACGTTACATTTTGTCTGTTGGGGAGAGAGACAGTTCTGAACCAGATAGCTTAGCATAATAGCCCTCAGCGTGTTCGAGAAAGTGTCATTTGTGTCATTGCTTGTCTGTCACCACCTCCTCATTTGCACTGTCGAGTTGTGTCGTGTCCAGTCAGCTTCTGCTGGAGCAATCGCACATGCCCTGGCACAGGCACTGGCAGAAGCCATATACAAGACAGACAGTGAGACTGGAGGGCACAAGGCTAACACACACAATGCCCAGCGTCACTCTCTGGATCACCAGCAAGTAGATGCCCAAGGGCAAGGAGCCAAAATAGAAGAACCCCAGAAGCCACACAAGGATTCGGGGTACGTGATTGCAGAACTTTGACAAGGCATCCTGGTCCATGGCCCCACTGTTTGACGCTACAGATACAGAGTCCAGACTGTGGTCTCCATAGTAATCAGAGCTACCGTTGCGGCTGGGTGAACGCTGTGCGTCCCGTTGGACCTCCATGATTGTGATAACCAGGCAGTTGGAGGAGTCATGGGATGGGCTGTCGCTAGAGGACAGGCTCTTGGGCGTTAGTACTACCTCTTTGCTGTGGTCGGAACTCCAGGACTTATCCCGAACCACCAGGCATGACATGATGTTTGAGTCGTCCGGGAGTCCAGACACCTCATACTCGCTGACTTGGGTCTCGTGGCGGCAGAAGGGACAGCAGATGCATCCAGAACCGTCCCCCATGTCCAGAATCTTGTTAAGGCATCGGGCACATACACGGTGCAAGCAGTCCAGGATCTTGGGCTTGCGATTGTGGATGTTGTAGCGCTGGTAGCAGATCTTGCATTCCAGTTCATCACTAGCATTGGTGGCAGCGCTGACATTAGCACTGACATTAGTGTTAGCATTAGTGCTGAGGTTTGAGGTTGCACTAGTGTTGGGATTAGGGCTGCCACCAACACTAGGGTTGGGGGTAGAGTTGAGATTTGCATTTGCAGTGGGGCTAGCATTAGCACTGTTAGCATTAGCAGGCCTCTCCTCTGGTTCAGCCTGAGCACAGCTCATCTTGGCCTCATACTCTGCAAAACAGAAACAGTGCGTTAGGGGAGGGGTTTACCATCTAAGATGAACAGCAATTTGAAACAGTAAACATTTTTTTAATTAGTTCTTTCTCTTGTCGCATGTAGAATGCCATCTGTATATATGAAGCTTAGTGCTAAATCAGTCTTATCTAAGCACTGACCTCAACAGGTTAGGACATGAATTCTGAACTATGACACAAGAATTTCCACTGTGAAGATTAGAGTTGCAGAAAGTATTGAAAAGGCAATTTGGAAATCCAATACACTAACCTTCAACACTTTAAATGCTCTGTAAACTGTAATTTAAGCTAGTACCACGCTGCAAAAAAAAAAAAATGAGGGATGTCTGACAAAAACTTGTTAATTAACATTAAAAGTACATTTTCTCAGTGATGGTAAAAATCTGTAAAATTTCTTAGAAACACTGCCTGTTACTCTAATTCACCTAGTTCAACGAAATATTCTGTACGTATATTATTTTACCATAAACATAACGACAATAAAATAAAATAAAATAAAATAAAAATGTCATGACATGTTTTTGTGAATTTACAGAAATTCTATTTCTGTAAATTAACAACAGCCATGTTAAAATGCAAAGTATATATGGCTTATTTACACGCAAGTTAACTTTTTAAAAAAATAGGTATCGACCATTATATTTTTTTACAGTGAAAACACTTGAAATCAATGATGAGATTGTATCAAATAAACATCCAATGAACATTTGGTGTTCAGACAGTGATGTGTGATTTTACTCTTTTTTACACTGGGTATTGGTATTGAAATCAAAGCTGGTATCGTGACAACCTTATCAGGCTGCATCTAAGCATTCTGCTAGGAATTATGGTTGTGCAGTGTTACAATGCTAATTCTCTCAGTGTAAAACTAAAATGGATGTTTGTCACAATACATCATCATCTTCTAGAAAAAGCCTCATTTTTTAACCATTGTGATGTTTGTTTGTATAATTAGAAGCTCTTTTGCATAATATGACTTTGCGAGTTATGAGATAACTGTGCCACAAATATATCTAATACAGACCGTCTGAAAAGTTATTTTGATGATCTTGGGAGTTGGTGATTCTGCTTTGCTATTGTGAATCAGAGGCTTAATAAAAATATTAAACATCCTCTTTTAAAGGATTTTTTCTTTCTGTAATTTCTTGGTGATGTATGATTCTGCAGCAATACAGAAGTTTATTTATGACTAACTGTTTTGTCATTATCATTTTTATAGAGGAACAGCAAGGCCAGAGTCTCATCAGTGGTGCACAAATATTTATGATCACTCCCATTGTTCATGTTCGAGTTTGCGGGGAATCAAAGGCTTAATTAGTCTGCTTTGTTAATCACTGTTTGTGAAATTAATTGTGAGCAGAAACTGAATGGAGGCTTGGGCTGTTGTTTTTCAGTGTCTCTCTTGTTTGCCTTTTTATTGTTTGAGAGGGACGATTATACCGAAGGAAGAAGCACAGTTGTGAGCGAAATAAAATGCAACAGCCCTCTAGGCAAATAGCAACCCTGTTTCAGCCTCACCCCCAAAAACTCTTCTCCATTATTAATAACCAGAGCACGGCCGCATAATTGTATTTCTAAAAGCAATTTGTTTTGCTTTGCCCAGTGAAGTAACACGGCGCGCAAACACTGTTGATTGAATTATAACGGAGGAGACAGCTTTGCGGGCTGTTGGACTTTAGGCAGCCTTGTAAAAATCAGCCCTTTCTGATTAAGCTGCAGTGACTTCTGTCAGACACTTGAATCAGGCTTCAGTGGTGTTAAAGGGGCACTCCAACCAAAATAAAACATTCCTACTTATGTAATAAACATGCCTACTCGCCTAATACAGCGTTACCACAATAGTCCTGAGATGGAGATTTTTGGTTTACAGACTAAGAAAACCCTGTTCTGATGATGTATCCTGCAGGTGGGAGGCAGTGTTTAAAAACTGCAAGCACACACACACATTATCTAAGCCGCTTCTGGGTCACAGTGGGTGCTGGAGCCTATCCCAGCAGTCATTGGGCGGAAGGCAAGAAACACCCTGGACAGGTCACCAGTCCGTTGCAGGGCAGACACACAGGCATAAACAATCACACACATTTACACCTAGGGGCAATTTAGCATGTACAATTAACCTGACTGCAGGTCTTTGGGCTGTGGGAGGAAACCCACGCAGACACGGGGAGAACATACAAACTCCACACAGAAAGGAACCTGGTCGCCCAGCCGGGGAATCGAACCCAGGCCCTTCTGGCTGTGAGGCAACAGCGCTACCCACTGCGCTTAGCTTCTAGGAAGCTGAATGTCAGCCTGTACATCAGTATGTTTCTGTTATCGTGGTGGGGATTCCCAGTGGTTGTATGATATTTTTGTGCAATGCATCCTGGATATTATAGTAATACTGATGGACAAAAACACAAAAAATATTAAAAATAGTGATTTCTGTTAAACCGATGAGGCTGAGGGACACAAACTTCTGCATAACATGACAAATAATTTATTAAATGCTAGTTCTAAGCCAGAATGCCCCTTCTAAAAACAAGCACTTGGTTTATGGTTCTTCTTATGGATCTTAAGAATTGATTAATACCTTAGAGGCTGGTTTCTAAGACATTAAGAAACAGATTAAGCCTAAGCCTAAACTAAGAAGAATTTTCTATTCTCTGCAATTTAGTGCCAGGCTAGGCTTAATCCATGTCTGGGAAACTGACCCTAGAGGTATTTTTTTAATTGTTTTAACATATGTTCTAGTTACAGCAGCTATTGATCCAGTGAAAGGTGTGACTCTGTGTGATCTTCCTCACTCAGGGTGCTGGAAAAGACTCAGTTCTCATAGAGGGTCAAATGCTAAGACTGTCCTATGCATTGATTAATACCTTAAAGGTGCTGAGCTTGCTCACTTAGGATGCTGGAAAAGACCATTTTTAAAATTGTGTTTCTTATTTAATTCACAGACAGGGATTAGGCTGAGCATTCCCTTAATTTAACATCAGGCCAGAAATTTGAGCTTTTAACAAAAGATACATGGTAGAAATAAGATATAGTACAAGATAGCATCAATGTCAAAAACCTTCCAACTGATTTTTTATTGTTTTATGCCATTGAAAAACACCTGCTAGCCTTTACATTGTCTTAGCATTTCATGCTGAATATACCAATATAAATGGCCCAAATCTACTTGGAATGGAATGCCTTTACATTAACATGCATTCAAACTAAGATTGTTTTTTCCTTCTGGTGTAAATTTACCATTTTGGAGATACAAGGTTTGTGTTATGACAGCAACAATATATAGAAGATATAAAGTATATAAAACATTCTCTCTCATACACACACACATGCACACGTTCCCCTCCTGACCCTACCTTTCCTCTCTGTGACCATTAGCTCCAACATATTTTGCTAAAAGAAGAAGAAACAAAGGCTCAAAGCTAAGGATTCTGGATTATGTGTTCTTTCTCAGAAACTACATGGCTTCCCTTTGTTTGTCTGTAATAAGGGGTGGCTAGGCAGCTTGCATTTTCTTTCCTAGCGAGAAAAGAAAGAAGAAACATGACAGAGAAACAGATGAACAGCATTACTTACAATAATCAAGATGCTGCTGTTAAAAAAACAAACCTTTGGATTAAGTAGAGCATTTGTTAGCTTTAACCTTTCTGACAGTTTATCTGAATGCATGTCAGGAAAATTTGTCCTAAACTACCTGCTCTGCAATGGTGTGATGATAGCGGGTATGATTAATGCAGTAATAATGAGTGATGTGAGTGGCGCTGATGGCACTGCATTAACCTCTGAACTATGTAAATTACTGCTGCGCTACACTCAACAACATTCTGTGCGTGACGCGCACCCTGACAAAGCTTTTTTTTTGCCGCACACACGCCTGACTTCCCCCACCTGACTGCTTAGCAGTGTAGTCTGCAAAGGGAAATGATACTGAAATCCTTTTTTTACATTGTTCATTCATGACGTTGCTCTTATTAAATACGATCCTTTGTGTCATGTCATTGAGAAGACAAAATTATTGTTTCCCTGCAATCTTTCATCAAAATGTGGTGACTTTTGACCTCCTCTAAATGCAGTCTGGTTTGGCTACGTCACTGTATATCATGGGTGGGGGGGTAAAATGTATTCTCCAGTAAAATGATAGCATGCTTTCCTTGGCCTAACTCCTGGTACAGAACTGTCATACCACTCCCCCTCCTACTCTTTGCCTCCTTTACTACCCAGATTTCATCCCCCTCCTCCAATGGAGGTGCCGGAGGTGTTGCAGGAGGCAAGATGTCCTCCAGGACTGACAGTAGACAAGCGTCCGGGTAGGGCCTGATATTTGTTTCAGTACGCCTGCTATTCACGTCAGCATAAATCAATTAAAGATAGAGTGCTTTTTAGAATGGGTGTTGGCACAAAGCAGCTTTACAGAAAGTCCAAGCCCAAGATGAGTAAGCCAACAGTGACAGTGGCTAGAAAACTCCCTGAGAGCAAGAGGAAGAATCTTGAGAAGAACCAATACAAGGGCAACCCATCCTGCTCTGTTGGACACTGGGTAGCAAAGCAATAATACAGAGGTATTTAGATTAACCAATGATAACCGATGACTGCTGTTAGAAGCCTATTAGAGGCGCAAATGAGACATACACTGCCTGACCAAAAAAAAGGTCACCACCTGGATTTAACTAAGCAAATAGGTAAGAGCCTCCCATTGGATAATTACTGCATGGGTGATTATGTTTCAGCTGGTAACAAATTATTTAACCCTAACTGATGCGGTGAGTAGCTTCTCATTTGTTAAACAACCATGTCGAAAGACATATCCTGTGGTCATGGAAAAGATGTTAATCTGTTTCAGAAGGGTCAAATTATTGGCATGCATCAAGCAGAGAAACAAGGAGATTGCTGAAACTACTAAAATTGGATTTTTTCCAACGCATTATTAAAAAGTGGAAGGACAGTGGGGAAACATCATCTTCGAGGAAGGAATGCGGTC